TCAAACATTATTCCGAATTCAGCCGAGTCACCGTCATCATGATAGTTTCTTTGATGAGGATCGGAGTCGTTGTTCGGCTCTTCTCCCAGAAGTTGTCGCCAGCTACGACTTAGGTTTTTATTTTTTTTTTAAACATGAGAACAATAAAACGTTTTAAGTCAAAAGTGTGATTGTGTTATTCATTCAATTGTGATCTTTTCTAACATATTAATTAATATCTTAAATTCCTGTTCAATTTTTAATTTCCATTTTACTTATAAATTCCAATCCAATAACAATGGTCTATAATCAATGTATAATTAATGTTCATTCAATCTTCAGCAATCCAATCAATGTTCAATAATCAACGTATAATCAATGTTCATTCAATGTTCAATAATCGACTTTCAGTAATCAAATCAATGTTCAATAATCAACGTTCAGTAATCCAATCAATGTTCAATCAACGCTTGCATTTTTTGTTTTAATTACTGTGCAAACATAGAGCTATTGTATTTGGTATTTGGTTTGACAGTTCGTCCACTTCGGGTTCTTGTTGGCTGAATCTGTGTTGGATTTTGTAGTAGTTCTTCACGAGGCTGAGTTTGCATTTGTGGTTTTGGTTTGTGTATCGGCTGTGTATCCTGGAATTGTAATGGTATATAAACAGCTTTTTGTATCGGCTTATTTTCTGTTTCTTCTTATTTGCGTTTCACCGGTATTGACCATATATGATCTTGGCTGTTCAAGAATCTTGCAGATCGTTCCCAGGCGATCATGTCCTTTCTTTGATCTTATTCGAACTGTCTGGTTTTGTTGTAGCGCTGGGAGTGCGCTTGCCTGTTCTTTTTTGTCATAATAGCGCTTCTGTTAGTTTCTCTTCATTTCTAATTGATTTCTTACAACTTTTGTATTGATTGGTTTTGGTGTCAGTAAGAATTTGTCTGTGTAGAGAGGATTTCTAGTTGAATGTGATAGTAGTCTTTGTGCCGGTGATTTAAGAACATTATCTCTTGGCACATTGCGTAAGTTCAGAAGATTTTGATAGATATCTGATCCATCTCTTTGCCTGCTTTAATTACCGCATTATCTGCAATGCCATTTGATTGGGCATGTTCAGGACTACTCGTGATGTGAACAAAGTTCCATTCTGATGCGAACTGTTTGAATTGTTGACCTGAATACTGACCTCCATTGTCACTTATGAGAATCCGCGGTGTACCATGGGTAGCAAAGTAACGCTTCAGTTTCACTATTACCGTGGCTGATGTTAAGTCAGTTAATATATTCACTTCAAACCATCCGGAATAGGAATCTACGAGTACCAGGAAATGCTTATTGTTCCACTCAAATATATCTGTGGCAACAATCGTCCATGGTAGATCTGGATTGTTATGTAAAAGTAAGGGCTCCTTGGCTTGATGTGCCTTTAGGGCATTACATACCTGGCAGGATGACACAAACTTGTTTATGTCATCGCACATTGATCTCCAATAGACAATTTCCCGTGCTCTGATTTTTGTAGCTTCTATTCCAGGATGTCCTTTGTGTAGTATTTGTGTATATGATGACTGGAGAGAGGTAGGAATTATGCTTTTATGTCCTTTCATAACTATTCCATTGTCTACTGAGAGTTCATCTCTGAAATAACTTCGTATTTCTGAAGGGCACGACTTTGGAGTTTTTGGCCATCCCTTAAATATTGTGTTAATTAACATCTGTAGAGTGCGATCCTCTTTCGTTGCACTTCGCAGCTCTTCCTGTTTAGCATCACACAGCTGTCCCATAGATACGAATTAACTAAAGCGCCCCCACCGTTTAATAACGCGTTGAGGAGTTGCGGAACGTCAACAAACAATATGTAAACTCACGTGTGATAGACAAAAGCTATCTTGCATAAAATGACTGTATTAAAACAGCCAATGAAAACACAATTAGAGAAGAAAATAAGGCAAAATCATGAATATTCATGAAAAAGTGTACCGGAAGAAGGTTGCAAGATGTTGTTGACAGATGTTCACGTGGAATTTCGAGGCGGGCATTTAATCGAAGTTGTGGCAAATCTCAGACCTGCGTCGATTAATTTCTTCAATTAAACGCAACTAAAAAGTAAGTAAAATTTGTTTTTCTATATCTTTGTAAAATCTATTACTCATCAAAATTCTTGAGTAACAGTTGATAACTGAGTTATTCGTAAGTGTTGTGGCAGGTGAGATATCAAGAGGTGATGGTGAAAAAAATGAACTAGGGGCCTATCTATTAGCGTAGGTAGGGTGTGAATGCCATATTCTGGCCTAGGGCCTATGCGTAGATTTACTAAGCTTCGTGTGAAATTCTAGGCCTACTGTACACAGCCACATCCGTGTATTGCGGGGGTTTGTGTATATAGCGGTGTTGCATATATTGTGTCTAGGCTCGGTCCTAGGCCTGGGGCCTAAGCCTAGCCCATGTGTTTTTCTTGTTTTGACCATCTTTTGGTCAACTGAAACTGAAACTTGTTTTGTCTTATTACTTTATAATGTATTGGAATGTACTAATATATCCTTCTAGGCCTAGCCTATGGTAGGCCTGTGTACTGTCTGTGAGCCTAGTGGTTGTTAATTTTGCTAGTAATCATAAGCCCAGGAGTTTTATTAATAATAAAAAAAATTTAAAAAAAATAATAATTTATATAAATATGATAATAATAAGAATATTAATAATAATGAAAATAATAGTAATAATAATACGATAATAATAATAATAACAAAAATAATTGGTTGTTACTGTAATATTGCTAATCATAGGCCCAGGAGTTTTTAAATAATAATAATAATACGGTAATACTGTAGTGTAATAACAACAATAATACTCATACTGTAATATAAATTCTGCATATAGGCCTGGTGTTTTTAGTTATACAGTTTTTATCGGTTGACTGGCACACACAGTGTACTATAGGTGTAGCTATCATTATTCTATATCATACAGTAGTATAAATATAATTTTGACTTTTTTCAGGTACATGTATCTTGATGGTATTAACTAAATATGTTGACTAAAGACCCATTCTACAAGCATTCAACATGCACAGCTTCATAAGATCAGGGATATTATAGTCAAGCAGGTAGGCCTACCATTGTTGTTCAACATGATGGTGGAAAGAGGAGTGATTGCTATATACTGTACTGTATTTCAATTTACAATGTTTCGTTTACATGATTTAATAAAATGGCGCCTAAAATAAAAAAAAAACAAAAAAGCATACAATGTGGCTTTCATTAGCCATTCAAATAAGATGATTTTATTGGGCCAAACTAAACACATTCATCCACTGAACTGCCTGACTTTATTTTCTTATTACAAAGTGTAAACAAGTCCTTCCTGAATGGAGACAATTACACCTTTAAAGAACGTTATAAAAATGTTTACCAATAACTTCTGTAAATTCAGGACTGGGGCTAGTTTAAATAATTGTTTTGTATGACAAGAATAAAAATAAATTTACTCCCAATATTCTTATTACATCTTACCTGGTTAATCAACTGTCACACCACACTGTTTATAAGACTCATCTCCTTATTTACTTACATATTATTTTTTACATTGTATATTTCACATTTATACGGAGGCAACCAAGCACAAACCCTTTAAACGACCAAGGCGACGCCATACAAAGCTAAAACAAACATCACTAGTCAACCTGAAGAATTGAAGGGTGCATTCATGAAATGTATGTGAGTAAAAATTACAACTCTTTCTTTATTGTTATCAACAAAAACAAATTATATATTATAAATATTGATTTGGATCCAGTTGAATTTATTTTAAGATAAATTTTCAAATTGACTCCCGATTTTTTTTTTTATGAGACAGAAAACTCCTCTTGTCCAAAACTATCATGAAGGGATTGCCCGGATGT